AGAGAGTCTTTCTTATTTGTGACCTTTGTAAGACGCTGTTTTATTGTCTCGTATTAGCGACCATATTGTCACAAGTTTTATAGTTTGTGAAACTTGGTTTAGTCACATAATCGTCACCGCTTTGTAGATGGTCGGTCACAAAATGGTCACATATGTGGAATAGTTTTGGTCATAAAATGGTCATATGTTTCTTATTGGTCTGGTCACAAATTAGTGACATGTTAACAATCATAAACCTGATTAATTTCCGAATTGAATAGCCATTAATCAAAGAAAAATATCCATAATACACAGTAATCAAGTAAACATTCCAAAAAGTATCATCCTACATAAGTTATCATCCTAGATTCCTAGTCATACACAAAAGGATCATCATCCTACATACCAACAAAAGCATAAATAATTCAAGTTCATAAGTTAGAAGAAGTAGACAAAGTAGGTGAAGTGGAGGATGCTACTCTCTTGGCCAATCCTGTCTCTTCTGTGGTGCCTGCGGTTGGAATGGCTGGTTGGGTGGTTGCAGCTATTGTGGATGGTAGAATGCCTGTAGGTGTGGTGGTTGCTTGGATGGGTTGTTCAGGTGCTGTAGAAGCAGATGACAAGAAAGCTGCCAACTCAGGATCTTTATCCTTCATGAAGAGGACAAGTTTCTCCAAGCTGGAGATCCGAGATTGAGATTGGCGGTGCTCCTCATCACGTCTTGCATTTTCAGCATCGTGTTCAGATATCTTGCGCCGCAGCTGTTCTTGAAGCTCCACAATGGTTGATGTAGAAGAGCTCGCATAACTCTCCTTCCTCTTTCCTTTGTTCAGCGTCTCCACAAGCGATCCAAGGCCATAAGGAGTGCCTTTGTCATCTTTATGAGTACACTAAAACAAAAGACAAAGATTCAGTGAACAAGAACAAGGATGTCAAAAAAACGAAATCCAGAAACAATTTAAAGGCATATACACTGATTATCCACTTTAAAGGCATATACAATGTTAATCACATAATCAACATCAAAACAAGACAATCAGATACTAAGCAAAATAAAAACAGAAATCAATTACCTTAAGAAAGATCTCATTCTTTTCATCAATGCTGAGCATACGGTCAGTGGAATGTTCAGAGGAATTAGCAGAATTCTGAGGACCCTCCTCGTCCAATTCAGACAGCCTGTCTTCAATGCCCTTCGCATACGCCTCATCAACTTCTTTAGCTTTTTGATCCACAAATGATCCATCAGCCCTTGTATGTGTTTGCATAAACACTTCGCCAAGTGATACAGGACGCTTGAGCTTTTCCTCCTACAATTAAACTCAAACAGATTTAAATCATGGAAGCAATATCAGAAAATCAGAGAAATGATTTGTTTGGATGGAAAGAGAACTCTTACCATTTCTTGATGAACTTGCACAAAAGATATCTGACCGGCTAAGTGTTTCTGCACTCCAAGACCTCCACGATCAGAGTTTCTGCACTATGAAGCATTCTCACTCCTCTCAATAGCATCCTCAGTGTTCCAATACACCCACATCTCAGCCCAAAGTGTATCACGGATCCACGGTGGTTGTACACCACTCTGCTTTGCTTGACTCACAATCCCTTTCAACCGTTTCTTGGCTATCGCCAAGAATCCTTCTCTAACAAGCTCAGTAATCCCGACATCCCAATTATACTTCCGCTACACAACAAGTAGTTAAGTTAGCAAAGTTACTAAGTAATATATAGTAAACAATAACAGAATAAAAAGTATATATGACATTACCGCAAAACTTCTGAAGTATCTCTCTCGAATGGGTATTGGAGTAACCTTCCAGCTGAAGTAAGACCCATCAAACTTCCTCCGAAATATTCCAGCAATCACTCTAGACAGCTTTCCTTTGTGCCGGTTAAACCTGTAATGAAAGACAGAGTATTAAGTCTATATAAAGTATCTTTCATGTTAGTTAAGCACTAAGACATTGCAAAAATACTCCTAATTATATTCTTTTGTTGAAATCACCGACTTTAGATGATGCAAAACAACTAAGAGAGAGTCAGCGAGAATGAAATGTGTTTGATTATATGCAGAAACTACTAAAATAAGTTGTATTTAGTGAAGAAAGTCTGAAAGCTTGAATATAAACCATAGAAAGTCTGAAAGCTTGAAGAATCAGACTCAGTTTGGATCAACTAAAATAATTCTCCAAACTTCTACTAAAGGACATGACTAAATGACTTCACAGTGTTTAAAAAATAAAGATAAACTATACACAGATGCTCCAATACACCAATACACCAATACACATGCTCAATATCAATCACAAACACAAGTAACTCCAATACAGATGCTAATTATCAATCACAAAATCATCACAAATGGTCAATGACAAAAGTATAAAAGGAGAGAGATTACCAGAGAGTCTCAACTCCTGGTATCCGGTTCGGAGACAGAAGTGGAAGATGTTCTCGGCCTGGAAGGGCTAGCAAACGATCCAACAGCTCTTGGTAGTCGACATTTGGATCTTCATTCTGTTCCTGAGGGTTATCTTCATCTACATCTTCCTCATACTCGTCTTCACTGTTATCGTTTAGCTCCATTGGTAAGTTCTGTTGCTCCGGTGGATCCTGACGAGGAGGCTGTTGTTGAGGAGGAGGCTGTCGTTGAGGCGGAGGAGGCTGTTGTTGAGGAGGCTGTTGTTGAGGAGGTTGTTGTTGAGGAGGAGGCTGTTGTTGACGAGAAGAAGAAGGCTTTTGATGTTTTTGTTTCCGACGAGCTGGAGGTGGTTGTTGAGAGCCAGCAGGCGGTGTTTGTTGAGAGCCGGCAGGCATTGTTTGGAGAGAAGGAGTCTGGTTTTGGGAAGATGGCGGATACTGTGAAGGACGACGACTCTGAGATTGGGTAACTGACTGTGTCGCCGAATTAGGGTTCGACGAGTGAGAGGAGGCTCGGACTGGACTCGCAGGTAGAAGTGGATTTTGACCATGGAAGACTCTGGGACCACGGCTGGTCGATTTGCCTCCGCGACCTCTGGAAGCCTTGCCCTTACCAGGAGCCATTAGAGAATCGAAGTGTTAGAGTCGAAAGAGAGAATTTGAAGAAAGGAAGAATTGAAAGAGAAGCAGAGAGGTGAAATAAAAACCCTAGAAAAGTGTTGAAGAATCGATTGGAGTAGATTGAGAAGAGGAGAGAAGAATCGATTCGAAGAGATTGACAAGAGGAGAGAGGCGAGAGCTTTTTCGGCAAAAACCCTAGATCTAGGATGAGAAAATGAAATGTCGAGGTCGTGTTTGTTTACTAATTAACGATAAGAGTCCCACTTTAGTCGCAAAAGAGTAGGTCCTTAAAATTTTTGGTGGGAATCTTAAGCGCCCAAAGACTTAGTGAAATTTTGATAAAATTTTACTAAAAATTGGAAACGTTGCAAGATAGTGGCAAAATAAGTCGGCAAATAGTCACAAAGATTGTCCTAAAATAGTCGCAACATATGTACGAGTCGCGTTAAAGTTACAAAGTAGTCGCAATTTGTGACTAAATTGTGACAGACGAGAACACGTCACAACATAAAATTTAGATATCTATGGATTTTGTTTCATTCTATTGATTGTAATCACAGATAAACACTCATTTTAGTAGCATAAAGTACATATATAAGTCTTAGGTAGGTAAAAAATTGCTTCCACAACTTATTTCATAATATGTTATAAATTCCCTATCATTCTCTTAAAAGAACATGTAACACTTCATATGGATTAGGTATTTTTGCATGTTTGGTTTCTAATCATTGAAATTCAAGAGGTTGGTTAAGTATTTATAACTAAATTCGATCATATCACACTAGTAACGTATAATGGAACATATAAACAAACTCCAAATTAGAAATTTGGATTGTTCAATATCGAGAGTTGGTAATATGTAGCAAAGTAGTTGCTAGGTTTCAGGTGTTAGACGCAAAATAGTGGCAGAAGTGTGACCGTCTTGCGACTGTTTTGAAAAATGGTGATATATTCTCATTTTTAGTCGCTAAGTCTCAGGTGTTAGATGCAAAAGGGTGGCAAATGTATGACTTTTTTGTGACCGTTTGGTAGATGTGATCGATTATCTTGTTTAGTCGCAGAATGGTGGCAAAAGTGCGACTGTTTTGTGACTGTTAGTAAAATGATGGAAAAAAACACTCTACTTGACTCGAACCGAGAACCTGCTTTCAAGTATGGCAAGTATGTTACCAAATTGGCTGTTTAATTAATCGTTAAATGTTTACCAAAACTAGTAAATAAACATAACAAATTGGCTGTTTAATTCTATTTTTCAAAACACACATCATCAAGCCATTTAATTAAAATATATTACAAAACACACATTAAAACTTAGTCAATTATTTTACAAATGACTTATATTTATAATTATTCTTCATCTTCACCTTCTTCTTCATCTTCATCTTCGGATGTTGATGAATTACAATGAAATTCGTCTTCTCCTTCAGCATCTTCAATATCAAAATCGATAGGTTCATCTTGATGATTTCTGTCAACTAAGCTCTCAACTATAACTTCTTCAATCATGCTCGGAGGTGCCTCATCAACAGATTGTTGCAGTATAACCATATCATTTTCAGTAAACTTCCCTTGAACAACATTCCTTGGATTAACTTTGCAAATTGAAAGCCACGTTTTTCGAGGTCGTTTTGTGGTCGGGTATGAAAGATAACACACTTGATCAACTTGAGACCCTGTACAAAGCCAAAAATTTGAAATAAAATAAGATCGTCTCTAGCAAATACTTGAAAATAGGATGAAAAATTACTTAAAATAAATGGTTCGTAATTTTGGTATCTCTTTGATTGTAGCACGTCTATAACGCCTCCATCTGAAATACGAATTCCTTTGCCAACCTTTGGGTCAAACCATTGACAGTAGAAAAGTGTGATCTTTAAGTTAACCAGTCCTGGATACTCGAGCTCGATTATCTTTTCCACGGTCCCATAAAAATCTTCTTCGTGAGATGCTTCAGAATAATTTTGTCCTAAAACACATACCCCATAATTCATTGTCTTTCTTGTGCGCCCATGATTCCGCGTGTGAAACATATATCCTCTAGTAAAATACATGGGCCATGACTTGACTTTGTTTTCAGGACCTTCCACTAGTTCATGAACCCATGGAGGAAAATTTTGATGACTTCTCGTTGCTTCCACCTAAAATGAAAATTATATAGATTAGTAAAGATATATATTCCAATCCATGAGTCGATTTAAAGTGAGATCGTTAGTATATACGACGTACGTATTGGCGAATCCATAAATGAAAATCTTCGTCTCTTTTAGAGGTGACCTCATCATCAGAGAGTTCTGGATATTCATCCCGAATTTGCGCGTCCAACATACTGTGTTTCGACATGTAAAAAATATTCTCATTAGTCGATTAATAGAGAGAACGCTCTTAAAACTAATATTATTACTTACTAAAAATGTACGTATACCTTTCAAACGGTCGAAAATAGTCACAATTACGCAAAAGATATGCATGTGCGCATGTATAATCTTGCTCAGTTAACCAGAACTCACTACTTTTGCCACTTGGACGACCGACTTGTGTGAATATGTCTGGTACCGGGACATGATATACAGGAACTTCACCTTCATCATACCGACTTGTCCTGCCAAAGTATATATATTAATTCATAAAAATATTTGCTTTTATTAAAATAATGGTATTCTCATTATAATATAGTATGAAATACCTTCTTCTAATAGCTGTAGAAATGTGCGATGCAAAATAGTGTTCCGAGAAGTATGATATCTCATCATTCATGTACGATTGAACGATTGAACCCGCTGGATATCTTTTGTTCTTCGCCTTGCCTTTCAAACGTTTAAAAAACCTTTCGAAAGGATACATCCATCTATATTGAACTGGACCGCCAAGCTCTGCTTCGTATGGTAGGTGTATAGGTAGGTGCTCCATAACATCAAAGAAAGAAGGTGGGAATATTTTTTCCAAGTTGCACAAAATCATGACAATATTCTCCTTCAAAAGTTGGACGCGACTTAGCTCCAATGATCGAGTACTTAAATCACGGAAAAATACTCCAATGCCTACAATACAAATAAAATAAAATTAATAGTCATATTATTTTATATATAGAACAAACATATATTTATAAATTAAATATATTTACCTGATAATGCAAGATGTACGTTTCGTGGCAAGAGTTCTGCAAACACAAACGAAAGCAATCGTTCCATAAATACATGGCAGTCGTGACTTTTCATTCCCGAAAACTTGCCGGCATTGATATCTGCACAACTAGCTAAATCTGCTACATAGCCATCTGGAAATCTGACCTCTGATTTGACCCATTCAAGGAGACTTTTTTTTGCTTTCGCACTCAATCTCCAAATAGGAAATGGAGCTCTCCCTCGATCATCAACATGCAATTCAGGTCGATCACAAAATCTGGAAACATCTATTCTTGACTTCACAGTGTCTTTTGATTTGTCTTTCACATTCATCACAGTGTACATGACGTTATCGAGAATATTTTTCTCAATATGCATCACATCAAGATTGTGTCGTAGATTTAGATCGGTCCAGTAAGGTAGCTCCCACAATATGCTTTCTTTGTGCCAATTATGCCAATCTCCATACCCATCCACTTTATTTTCATGCCCATTTCCTCCGCAGTCAGATGTCTTAGGCGGCTCGGCAGTCTTTATACGCTCATATAAGACTTGTTCACCAGTCAACGATTGAGGTGGATACTCGTTCACTGCATTTTTACCCTTCACAAAGTGCTTTTTGTCCTTCCGTAATGGATGGTTTAGAGGAAGAAATCTTTTGTGGCAATCAAACCAACATGTCTTCCGACCACCTGGCAACCAAAATGATTTTGTATCCTCCATACAAATTGGGCACGATATTCTTTCATGTGTAGTCCATCCCGATAACATGCCATATGCTGGGAAATCGCTAATAGTCCACAAAAGGACGGCTTTAAGTATGAAATTTTGATCACATGACACATCATATGCCTCAACTCCGTTATGCCATAACTCTTTCAACTCCTCGATCAGTGGTTGGAGGAAAACATCAAGACTGGCTCGTGGATGATTTGGTCCCGAATTCAAAATTGTAAGGAACAAATACTCACTGCTCATGCACATATCAGGAGGCAAGTTGTATGGAGTCAAGATCACGGGCTACAACGAATGATTTTTGGACATGCCAAAAGGATTGAAACCGTCAGTACATAATCCAAGATAAACATTTCGCGGTTCTTCTGCAAATGAGGGATGGAATTGCTGGAAATTCTTCCACTCAGCCGCATCTGATGGATGACACATTAATCCTGTTTCCGATTCATGCTCAGCATGCCATCTCATCGAAGCTGCAGTCTTTTGAGATTGATACATTCTCTTCAATCTGGCCCCAATCGGTAAATACCACATCTTACTATATGGTATTCTTGTTCTTCCTTCACTCTCCTTGTATCTTGGTTTTCCGCAGAACTTGCAATTCCCCAACTTCTCATCATCTTTCCAAAATAACATACAATTATCTATACATACATCATATGTATAGTACGGCAATCCTAGCTTTCGCATCAAAGTCTCTGTCTCGTAGTAGGAACCGGTCGCCTGATTACCTTCTGGTAAATATTCGGTAAACAATTCTGCCCATCCGTCCATGCAAGTTTCTGACAAATTGTAGTCCACCTTATTGTTCATGAACTGAGCTGCCAACGATAATTGCGATTGACCTTCCCGACATCCATCGTAAAGTGGAGTGTTTGCGGCAGCTAGCATGTCATAAAATCGTTTTGCTTCTTGGGTGGGTTCTTCATGAACATGATCGTTTCCACTTTGATCATGTTCATTATATTCGTTATATGGTACAGAACCATGAAATGCATCATTAACCATCTCAGCATATACATTCTCCCCATCATTAGCCATCCCAGCATATACATTCTCCCCATCAAATCCTATTGGTTCATGCGTACCACTAGTATAATTGGTATTATCAGCATATTCATGATGACTACTAGTTCCCTCCCCAACAACATTATAATCTTCACCATGTTCATATCATACATAATAATTCGCCATAAACCCCCTACTAAGCAAATGACTCGAAATTGTGGCAGCTTTCATGCGTTTAGAATTTTGACAGACTACACAAGGACAATAAAACCGACCTTTTCTGTCTTCAACGTGAGAGCTCGCAAAATCGATGAACTGTTCCACACCCGCCAAATACTCCCCCGAAACATGACTAGTGTATGGATCGATTCGGTTGTACATCCATTCGCGTGATGGATTATTCCACATCGTTTTTTTTCTCTCTTTTATTTCTCTCTTTTTTTTTTTTTTTTTTTTTCTCTCCTTCGTTTTTTCTTTCTTTCTCCTTACGTTTTTTCTCTTAATTTGAAGTTGGATGGAATGAGAAATAAAATGACGAAGGCCTTGTATATATAGTGAAGATTTTGTGACTCTTTTGTGACTGATGTTAAGGAGTCACAAAGTTTGGTACACCTAACTCTATCGCATTTTTCACATTGTGCCAACTTTTGTAACTCTTTTGCGACCGATTTCAAATAATTCACAAAATTCAGTACACCTAACTGACCGATTTCGATCACAGTACTACTAAACCGTGATCGAAATATGTAGTTGCAAAAACGTCGCTAAATTGGGACTGCTGTGCGACTGATTTTCCTGACTACAGATTATGTCGCTAAGTGGTCTCATAGTGCGACCTTTTTGCGACCAAATAAATAGAATGGCAAAACAGTCGAATATGTGTCGCTAAATTGAGACTGTTTTCCGACTAGGTGTTTCCGTCGCTAATTAGCGACTATTTTCCATCTTCTTGGATTGTAGTCGTTTAAGTGTCGTATATCAATTACAAAATAGTCGCTCTTTTTTGCGACCAAATAAATAGTCACAACAAGGAGTCCCAAATTGCAGGTTTTTTTGTAGTGGCTCCAATCCCTATACATACAATTAAGAGGTTAAATGTATCATCAAAACATGTTTAAAGATAAGTAGAATAAATACTATATGGAATGTGTGATTATTAGTACCTGATAACGCAATGTGGACGTTCCGGTCTAGGATTTCTGCAAAGATAAATGGAAGTAGTCGCTCCATAAAAACATGGCAATCATGACTCTTCATGCCTGAAAACTTGCCATTCTCCATATCAACACAACTAGCCAAGTCTGACGAATAACCATCTGGAAATTTAACCGCATGTTTCACACATTCCAATAAACTTGTTTTGGCAGCTGCTGTCAATGTGTAAGCTGGAAAAGGAGCTTTACCCCGACTATCAATATGTAACTGTGGCCGAGAACAAAATTGTTCTATATCCAATCTTGACATGATGTTGTCTTTTGATTTACCCTTCACATTCATAAGAGTATTCATAATGTTTTCCAAAAAATTCTTCTCTGTGTGCATCACATCAATATTATGACGAAGATTGAGGTCCCTCCAATACGGCAGCTCCCATAGTATGCTTTCCTTGTGCCAGTTATGTTGCTTCCCATAACCAGGCATCTTCTTTTCGTGACCGTTTCCACCGACGTCCTTGGTACATGGTGGATTTACACCATTCAACTTCTCGTAATAAATTTGTTCACCGGTCAAAGATTGAGGTGGATACTCTTTAGATGCGTCTCTTCCTCTTAGGAAGTCTTTTTTGTTCTTCCTTAATGGATGACCGTGAGGAAGAAATCTTCGGTGACAATCAAACCAACACGTCTTCCTTCCCTTAGGTAGATAAAAAGACTTTGTATCCTCCATACAAATTGGACAAGATAATTTTCCATGGGTGGTCCATCCTGATATCATGCTATATGCAGGAAAGTCGCTTATCGTCCACATCAGCACTGCCTTCAGATTAAAATTTTGATTCAAAGATACATCGTATGCATCGATCCCAGTAGACCACAACTCTTTTAACTCCTCAATAAGCGGTTGGAGGAAGATATCGAGACTAGCTCGCGGATGATTAGGCCCTGAATTCAGAATTGTAAGAAACAAATACTCTGTATTCATGCACATACTAGGGGGTAAATTGTATGGAGTTAGGATCACTGGCCACAACGAATGATTACGAGACATGCCAAATGGATTGAACCCATCTGTGCATAATCCAAGATAAACGTTACGAGGTTCTTCGGTAAACCGGGGATGTTGCTCTTGGAAATATTTCCACTCGGCCGCATCAGAAGGATGATTCATTTCTCCCTCCTTTGATTGATGCTCTGCATGCCATCGTATTGCCGCTGCTGTCTTGTGGCTCTGATACATTCTCTTCAATCGGTCACCAATAGGTAGATACCACATACGACTATATGGTACATTGGTTCTTCGACGGTCATCCTTAGGCTTCCATCTTTGTGCACCACAAAACCGACATTGATCTTCCTTTTCATTTTCTTTCCAGAAAAGCATACAATTGTTCATACAAACATCAATTGTATGATAAGGAAGACCTAAATTGCGCA